CATTACGCCCAAGGTAAAAAGGTCTATTTCAGCTTTCTTTTCAAAATATGATAAAAAATGGTGAGAGGTGGGTGGGTGATTAAAACAAAAAATGGCTGGGGGAGTGAAGGGTAGATACAAATGTTAAATGCAGTAGCTAATCTTACTTACTTTATCTTTAGAGTCTTCTAATTCATTTTCTAGTGAGTTTCCTCTTTCAACAGCCTGTCGCAACCTCTCACGAACCTGCAAATGGTAATTGAAGTATTTGGATGGTAAGTATCAGTCAACAAGGGCTTCCAGGAAGCCAGAAGGGCTTTGTATGACCATCATCTGATGACAGCCATGACAAGAGGCAGGAACAATTGAATCTTGTCTCATCTGATTTTCATGAAAAAGAATGACTGCTTATGATTGGATTAAATTTATTTGGGCTGAAATATTGAAGTATTGAAATTAATTCAGCCAATCAGAAGCGATCATTGTAACAGTCTGCCGTGACGGTTACCTATGAAAACATTAGGAAATAGACAGTAAAATGTTTTTATTGACAAGGTAAATAAAAGGCTATCATGTGTCAGACTTTGAGAGCCAGTGGGCAAAGAGACAAACCACTGGGTGCCGCAGTTCCATCTTTATCATCATTTTTTTCCATTTAGCGTTTTTCCGGCCTTAGGGATGGGTATAATTGAGAATCTTGTGTCCAGCAGTTTTATAAAGTTTATTGATTTTCATAGAAGCATTTTCAAAACTTTGTGACCAAGCTATATCCAGACATCTCGGTTTTGGGCTTCATCTGTTAATCAATTCAGACAAAATTTGATTGAGAGATGGAAATTTGATTGACAGATGACAAGAACCCAGATGCCTAGAAATACAGCTAGTTGTCTAGGTCGCATAATTACAAAACAGGGGATAACATTGAATAACCTTCTCGTCGAGCGCTTTGTGGTGTTCAAAGAGAGACTTGAGAGCTTTAAGGACTTCTACTTCAGATGATACGCCACCAGCGCTGGCAGCTTGCCGCTTGACAACGGTCATTCGTAACGATCTCTCATGCCGTGCAACCAAGCATTCTAAATGTTCAAGTAATAACTGCAAAAGAGGAAAATCAATGGAATCATGGGAAAGCCTGGGTAGTATTTAAAGCTATAGTGAGATAGCAATGATGGTGCATTGTGGTCTGGCTTGGGTAAAACATTTTTTGTTTATCATGCCTTATATGGTGTTGATCAAAGCTAGACCTGGCACAGGGAACAAGGTGCATTCTGGTTTAGTTTGGGTACAAATATTTTTTGTTCATCATCCCTTGGTGTTGATCAAAGCTAGACCTGGGATAGGGAACAAGGTGCATTGTGGTCTAGCTTGGGCACAAACATCTTTTATTCATCATGCCTTATATGGTGTTGATCAAAGCTAGACCTGGGATATGGAACAAGGTGTATTCTGGTCTAGCTTGGGTACAAACATATTTTGTTTATTATGCCTTATATGGTGTTGATCATAGCTAGACCTGGGATAGGGAATAAGGTGCATTCTGGTCTAGCTTGGGTACAAACATATTTTGTTCATCATGCCTTATATGGTGTAGATCATAGCTAGACATGGCACTGAGAACAAGGTGCATTCTGTTCTAGCTTGGGTAAAAATAAATCATCAAAAACTATACTTACTCTGGTATTGCATCTCTCGGCCTTCAATTCTAATATTTCTTCTTCCTTTTCTAATAATTGTTCTCGGGACTGATTTAACTCTTTTAACATTGACGCAAAATCCTAGAAAAGAAATAAAATAAAAACATGTCAAAAAAGGCCAATGTTAATGATATAATTATCAATTATATAGTTGACTTCATTTCTGCATTGGAGGGTGACTTGTGTCGTCATTAATTTCGACGTCAACTTCATTTATTTCAAGATCGCAAAAATATAATTAATTTCTATGATTATGATTTCTGGTTTAAGGTTCAAAATACATACAGAAATGAAATGTACTTGATTTATTTTCCGAGTAACGTATGAACTGTAACATATCGATCATCATTAATATAAAACGTATCTCCTTATAAAATAACTCTCTTATTATATCTCTTTCATACACTATTTCAAAATATGGTGACCAATTTCAATAACAATTGTTCTTTAGTCTCTCATGCATGTGAAAAAGCTTAGTGAGCCCTCTCGATGAGATTTTGTTCTTGGGGCAAAGTAAAGAATACACAAGTCTAAAGAATATATGAGTCTAAATATAGAAATAAAAAATAAATGCTTTTACATGAGGCTAGTCAGTCACAAGTCAGTAAAAAACAACAATGATTCCAATTGGTTTCCATATTTTAATTCGGTGTTTGGAAATTAAAACTCAGACACGTAATTAAAAATAGAAGAATACTAGATTATAAAATGCATGCTGATATTGATCTACGATGTACGGCTGAGTTCCCTCGTACACATGAGAGCATAAGATTTAAGCGTATGTACTGCAGAGCAGGTATACAATAGAACACTTTTAAGTTCCAAATTACCGCTGATTACAGACTCATTTACTTAGGGTTAGTCTAAATATCTAAATATTCATAAATACCAACGGTAAAGTAAAGAATGCACAACTTCAACAATACAAACACTTTGAAATTCCGCGGACCTTCACTGGAACATGTGAATATTAAGCACAAGGTCAACCCTGAGCAACAGAGAACTCGAAACTGAAGTATTTGTCTGCACATAAGATATTGAAGAAGAGAAGGAATTGGAAGATAATTAATCAGCTATTATTGGTACCTCTAAGTCTTAATAAAAATTGAGAATTGGAAAACTAAATATTAGGATATCCAATGGATTACCAAAGTTATTGCGCCACAAAAGTATTTTTAAGAACGTTAGGACTTTGGTTGCATTATCAGAAACTGCTCATGCATGTGAAAACATAATAAGTGTGGAACTTTGAATTGAAATAGCGAAAAGCAGCTGAGATATAGTTAATTTAATACAATAAATATTAACAAGAAAACACTGCCCACACGTACCTTATATTTTACATTTCAATTATAAAGACTAGATATTTATTTACATAATGATTTATCTGGACCTAAAGCAGCACCTCCTGTGAGATGCCGTAGACAACAGACCAGACATAACATTATCATATACTATTATTTTTCTATTAGAATTAGCTACGCAGCTAATTCTAGCTTTTTTTTATTTTTACGCAGCACCTATTATATACTTAATTATATAATAATAGGTTATGATTCTTCAAAGGCAATTGACGTAGCGAGATGAGACATCACAATGCAGATGACGTCAATAAATAACTAACAAATTAGTATTTTACACGCTCAATGCATATACAGTGTATAATCAAAATAATAGCTGTCTTGTCAAATTAATTAAATGTAATCATGAAAGTACAATAGAACTCATAAACCATGGAAAAGTTTTCAAAGTGAATACAAATATTGGGTTTTTTTGACATTTTTTTCACATTTTTTTTTCTCAGACTAAATTTTTTAATGATTTGTTTGTTTAAATACTCAAACGTGATTGGCTAATTTGTCTGGGCGGCTTTGGTTTGTGTAGTCGCACTGTACGAAAAAAACAATTAATTAAAAGAACAGAAGGAAACTTATTTTGAAAAAAACAATACCATATTTAAAATGTATATAACTTATAAAATAATATTTAAAAAATAAATCTAAAGTCAAAAAAGATATGTCTTAACTCTTTTTAAAAAAATATCAAGCGAGCCAGAGTTTTAGTATCTACATGTAATGGAAGAATGTTACATGGATAAAAATGTAGTGGGGGACAAGTAGGAATAAATTTTTAAATTCAAATCTATAAATTCATTAAATTATTTGACTTCAACACCACTCTGAGGTGAACGGAAGGCCTCACGGGTCTAGGACACAATTAACTGTGGGAAGCATGGGTGGCGTACTCGCCTCTCACCAATGCGACCTGGGTTCAGGACCAACAAGCTCTGTGTTGTATATGAGTTGAATTGTTTGTTGGATCTCTCCTGTGCTTCGAGGGTTTTCCAGTTTCTCCGGCTTTCCTTCCTCCGCAAAAATCAACTTCTAAATTCTAATTGGAATCCAGTGGAAGAAGAGCCACTCTGTGGAATCCACTGTTAATCCCATTATTATTATTATTATTTATTTAAAAGGCAATTAGATTGAATTATAATTTAGAAGTTGATTTTTGTGGAGGGAGGAAAACGGAGAACCTGAAAGAAAAACCCTTGAAGCACAGGAGAGAACCAACAAACAACTGAATAGAGGTACACTGTATACTAAAGGCTTGTGCAATTCTTATTAAGGGAATAGTAGGCATATAAAAAATTATGTAGTTAGATTATATTGTTTATTGTGTACAGCGAAGATAAATTGACTGGAATATAACATGTCTGTAAATAATGCTTATTATCAATTCAGAAAATAATGAAATCTAACTGAGGAGATACAAATATCTAGTGGAATCTATCAAGAGTAACCTAAGTCTTGCTTAGCTAATGATACGAGAAGTACTCTAAGATCGTAAATTAAGTAGGTCTAAGATTCAAGATAAGTAGTTACTTAAACAGGATGAGTGAATATGGAAGCCAATATTGAGCACTTCATATAACAATGTCTACTTTTTCATCTAAACACTAGAAGAATGACGAGATAAGAACTGGGCGAGAAAACATTAAAACTGAATTATGTATATTAAAAACTTTTTTTTCAAATGTAGTGAAAAATATTTCACAACGGATGAGGTATCCAACTGAGAAAACTTAGTAAATAGAACAACAATTTTTATGAAATAATGAATGGTTCATAATGAAGTAGAGTTAAAATCTAGAATTCATATTTTGATTTAGAATCATGATTTTTTGAGTGAATTTGGTTTATTTTGAAGTAAGAAAATTAGAATTCTTTTAAACTTGTAAAGAATTTGTTTGTTGCCATTAGAAACCACTCATTTTAACAATCAAAGAAATGGAAATTTTTGACCATACTATTTGCCTACAAATTAAGAAACCTTGCCACAAGATTATTAAGTAATGTTTCATAAGACGTTGGCTCTCAAGAGATGTTTAGACAATAAAAAGAAATTTTTTTAAACTCAATATTTGAAGAACAGATTTTTGACAGACTAGAATCCACATATGCATATATTTAGTGAATTATGTAAGCACGCATATTTAGATATTTAGCACCACTTGTAATTACTAATTATTCTTTGTGATAAAGGATAGCTACACGAATGATTTGAAATGTTACAAGGATGGGAACAGAGTTGTTTTTCCGTTAACTTATCTGTTTATCTAGTCGTTTTGAATGCACTGCAAAGTACTATTGTACCAAAATTATTCACACAGACACACCACAATCTTTAAACCAATTTATCTACAACACTGTCTAGAAAACACAAAAAAGGATTGAATGCTGGAATGTTCAGTGCTTAATTTTTAAACAGAGCTAACTTAATCCATAGGAATTACTCTAAGATTGTCAAAAGTCCTTATACAGTATATCAAGTTTCTAATGCCCAGATAATATACATATCCAAGTGTAGGGAAACTGTCTCGCTTTCCAAATCTGAGGCTGTCAAATACGTACACTGTAAGAATTGGAAAGTAAACACCATTGTCTTTTAAAGTGATTCAAAAACTATTACTACGAAGTAATGCTGTAATTTTAACACATTTATGATAGCATTTCCAAGTTTATTTGTCATGTCAACAACAATGGACGCCTCGTGAGCGCGCTAAAATTGTAAAACCGATTTTTATTCAAAATTATTCAAAGCTAGGGACTTATATCAAAATTTAATAAACTAATGGAAATACTACGATAGAATCCTGGTAGGGATCGCAAATATAAACAAAGGACATTTCGTGTATGGAATCGATGAATCATATCGGATCGTCGTAAACACGATTTAAACTCAAAATTCCGATATCGAACCAATTTGTCTCAGTGGAAAGAATAGTCAAAAATCGAAAAACCTCAAGGCAAAACTTTATGTACAAATTTATAAAACTTCAAATTCGAACGTAAATTTGAAAAATAAAAATTTCTAAGAATTTTTAGGCAATCTTTACCACTGCATGAAAGAATTGTGAGAATTTAGAAATAACAGAGCGAATAACTAGACGTAGCTACAGTAAAGATTTTGTAAAGAATAGAATTATTTTTCAGGATTTAACTACTGTGGCAAATGTTTACAAACATGGAGCTTCGAATTAGTTTATAGAGGAGTTTTGGTTAGGAAAATTAAATTTAAATCCTGCGAGAGCTAAAATCGAAGCTAAAAGGAAAAGAAAGAGTTATATTTTAGGGATCTATATAGGGATTTTTTTGGGGGGGGGATTTTAATATTTTTCTTTGGAGTAATTTTCTCGATCGATCTTGGAGCTATAAAACTCACCTCTGCTATTCTACGAACGTGGTTGTTTTCGTGATCTTCTTTTAAATTATTACTAGAATCCGAATTTATTCCATCTAGAGTTGCAAGCTTATCTATTAACTGTTCATCGCCCTGAAAAATGCAGAAAAAAATGATTAGGAATAGTATTTACGGTCTAAGATCGAAGAATCCCCACGATCAAAGGATCAGAATTCTAATGTGTTGGCATGAAGCATGAATATTTATGAAATGTCGAGATCAAAACATTTCCAAGTCCAAAGATGATTTTTTAGGGAGAGAGTTTGGTTTTTGTGCCTTTAGGGAAAGATTTTAGAAGATCTGGAGGGGTATTTTGAGGTATTTAGTTCAAACTCTTATGGAATGTTACTCATTCACTCGCATGCCGCTAGCAATATAAGCCTTTGGAATTTCATTCCAACATCAATAAACATCATTTTTCTCCGGTTTTTTAGCCCTAAATTCCCCTTAAAACTCAAGAATACCACGATTAGGAATGCCTAAGTGCATTGACAACAAAAACTAGCCATAACTTGGTAAATATTCGCGACCAGAAATCAAATTTTTGAGAGAAAATCAAACATGGCGAATAATAAGTTGATAGAGATAAACACTTTGAGGATATTAAAATCAATGGGTTCATCTCTAGTCGTGCTATCTTCAAAGGGTTTGTTTTAATAAATTCTGTTAGTATTACCTCAGACAGTACAGTTTCCAGATGAGCCATTAAACTTTCTTTTTCTTTTTGGGCTTCGTTTAATTTTGAGCGAGTGAGAGAAAGTGTGTCTTGTGTTTCTCGTAGAGTCTCCATTAACTTATCTCGCTCGTCCAACATGTTCACCATAAGTTGTTCAAAATTGGTCTCCTCATTTTGACCGTACTGAATCTCCGGCGGATCCTCAGATATCGTTGGCATTATATCACACATCATTTTGGCGGTTCCTTAACGAGACGAAGCCCAGAGAAGACCAGATTTGGCGGTAAAACTTACAGAATCCAAGCAAAATTACATGTTGAGTTTTTCACCGTCAAAAACCGTCCGAAAAATGCCTTCAAAACCGTTACTTTGATAATAAAAACGCATTTTTTTACACCAGGATGATAGAACTATCCTTCTAGGAGGTCGTAGGATTCATTTTGGTTCTTAAAGTGGTATTTTAAGGTATTTTTTTGCGGCCTAATTTTGACCTGTAGGATCACAAATGAACAAGATATACAACACACTGACTGAAGAACCGGCGGCACTACTACCCAACATCCTATGCGCGCCATTCCACCACCTGTCAGATCCACACAAACTAATACATTTATTCATCCCACCGGCTCCGAAAAAACCTTTTGAAAAAAATATTTCCTAAAGTTTATATGCCTTTATTCTTTGCTGGAAGGTGGTTTTATGAATAAGCTTTCATGCTGGGGAGTTTTGGCGCTGAATTTTAATTTATTCTCCTGTGGTGTGGTTATGATGACATTTCGGTGAATTTCCTTTCTGCTATAATYAAAAACGCTGTAATTCTAGCTTTCGGAATCTTTCTTTAGTGAATACTAGCTTCTGTGCTTATTTTTTAGCGTTCTTTAGTGACGCTTTTATAAAGGTTTAAGCGTATTGGACTTAAATATGAATGCCAGAATGGGTAAATTTTTGAAATCAAGAATCATGACAAATAAACCACGTTGATCGTGCATTACTTCTGACAATTTATTAAACCCGCCATCCTTGAACTTTGCATTCTTTGAAAGTCCCAATATTCGTTATTAACGTGAAAATGTGGTTTTGTGGCGTTGTTAGCAAATTGAAAAGGCGCTGAAGCGAAAAAAGTTGACACACTACACTTGCAATTACGTTCTTCCACAAGTGCTCAAAATAACTTGTGGCTTTTGAATAAAATTATTCAATTATCTTTTTGAACTTTGGTGGCTTAAAATTAGCGATAAGACGATAAAAAACCAGACAGGCAGAGATGAAAAAGATAAATCTAAAGACAAGAATAAGAACAAATGAGAAACATTGAGTTATATTATTATGTAACGTTGAAAATTGTTTTTTGGACGCTTGTATTCACGCATGATGTACAAGATAATTAAATGTCAAAACTTGACGACAGTTACCGAGAAGACCGAAAATAGTATATTTTTTAACACTGTAAAAAATAAGGAATTAAAAGGTGAATTTGTTTCGTTTTTATATTTAAAAATCTCGATTTGTGGTTTCATTTACTGATTTATATGATACATGTGTGAACACTGAAGAGAGCATGTTAATTTATCTGCTCTCTTGGTGTGAACGAGGTATGAAAAACTCTTGAACACTGACTCCAAATAGACTTAAAAAACAGACATCAAAATCGCCGAAATCTAAAATATTTTTGGAGAGATATGAATTTACAATTTAAGTTGTGCGCAAATTAGTAGTTTTTCTCATCTTTCTCATTATTCGTATTGTCTAGACCGGGCTTCCTGTGGTGCTCTGCATGGGGCCGGCGAGGCTGGGGGTCGACGTAAGAATAGACCCTTTTCGAATTCCAAATTACCGCTGTGTTTCTTGATCACAGACTCATTTACTCAGGCTTAGCCTCGAATCAGTGTCTAAATATTCACAAATACCAACGGTAAAGTAAAGAATGGACAACTTTAACAATACGAACACTTTGAAACTTGCCGGACCTTGACTGGAACACGTGAATATTCTTCACAAATATTCTTCTATTGTAAATTATCTCAGCACATGTTACGTCACGGTACCCAAATGACAACAGCATCCCAWCACAGCGATCGAAATCACCGCTAATCCAATAGCATTCCTAGGATGCACCGACAAGTCAATGATTCGTCTAACCGTGAGTTATACGCATACACTCTGCGCATGTCACATTTTGTCTCCAATGCTTGCATTATAGAAGTGAAAACTGGCGGGCCTCAACAAAAAGGCGGGATGAAAAAAGATAAAAGTAAAGGTGTTTTTTTTATCTTCTTCATCTCGCGAAAAATGCATTCTTGCACAAGAGTACCGATTTATGGATTTGGATGACGTGTTCATGGAGTTAATAATGGCTCATACCCTGACTTAGCAGGTGAGGCTGAGGCTGCAATTTTTCTTCGAAAATCATAAGTGTCCTTTTGAGTGTTGTGATCTTTGTTAAACTCCGGCTACTCAACACTCCGTCACACGCTTCTGAGGGACGTCGTCTGTCGATGTAATATCTAAGAGAAAACAAGCTTACTTTGGTGTCCTTTTGAGTGTTGTGAAATTCACACGCTTCAGAGGGACGCCTTCTTCGATGTAATATCTAAGAGAAAACAAGCTTAGTTCGGTGGTGTCCTTTTATGCGTTGTGATCTTTGTAAAACTCGCTACTCCGCACTCTGTCACACGCTTCAGAGGGACACCATCTGTGATCGATTTAATTTCTAAAGTAAGCTTACTTTGGTGTCCTATCTACGGTGTAGGAGTTGATAAGGAGCTAGTCAAAAGGTCTTTACCATGGTGCAGTCGAGTCGAACAAATCAGTATTGTTCTCTCATGGAGTACCTCTGTAGTATTTTTATTATATAGGTTCATCCTATCCCTCTCGTTTACTTTCTTTAATAATAGCAGTGTATAATCTTTCAATCTGCGTAGTCAACTACAGTTTTTTACCGCCAAAAGTATAATCGTAGTAATTAGTCCCGTGAGGGGTAGGGAAAGTGTGAGGAATGGCGTGACAAGTGGCTTGGCGTTGATACTTTTGAAGCTCGTAAAACCATTCCTTTTCTTTGACAAAAACTAACCAAATGACACCACTGATACCTATTTCACTTCCTCTTTTTGAATTTGGTAGTTTTAGTGCTAAAATCCAAAATTGTGGAAAATCAGAACCTGGATTTACTCCTTGGACTGGACTTCTTTTTAAGTGGAGTATCGGATTGAGAAAAAATTTCTTTAGTGTTTCGACTTCAAATTGAGTTGGAAAATCTAGCATTACTAGAAAAATTACTTTGACGTAGTTATTATTAGAGATTAAGCTCAAATATGGCGATTTTCGAGAAGGAAACGGTAAAGTGTACACAGTGAGAATCTGTGAATATATTTCCACTTATCTTGGCATTTATTTTCCTCTTTATCAAAAAGGAAATCATAAAAGACACTATAAACCCCGTCGGGCTTGTGGTCGTGCCAGACAACATGCTAAAACAGAAAGAGAGCGGTCGTACAGCTACACTGAGATACCGCAAAGGGTAAAGGAAATTCAGCTAAATTCTTTATTCCAGGGATGGATATTCTGTGCGTTATTCCCACACCAATGCTATGCAAGAGAAAAAGAAAACGCGAGCAGTGAACGTTATGTGTCTTTAAAGATATATAGGTATGTATTTGTGTGTGTTTTCTAAGTCTACTTAAATGTATGGGCTGCCTGTGGTTTAGCGAAGTTCATATACCACAGGGAGCCCAACCCCATTTCTATAATTGTTCGGATTCAACTTGTAAGCCAGATTGTCATTTTAAAGTGAGAGAATTACACCTGTAGACTGGCCTTTCAACCTTTTCTCAAACAAAGGCATGAGTATTTTTAATATGTAGTAAGAATTTCAAGTAAAGTGAAACGGGACCTTTGAAGCTTTTAATCAACTCCTAACCATATTATACCTACACCTATACTCAATCGTCTTCATTGGTTGAACGTTGCCAAAAGAATTGAATTTAAGCTTTTAACGGTCACATACAAAGCTATAAACGGTATCGCTCCATCCTATATAAGTGATATTCTCAAAATACACCAACCTACTCGTAAGCTAAGGAGTGCCACACAAGGAGTAATTTTAAAACAACCTTCATATCGTACTAAGTCATATGGTGCGCATAGCTATGCCGTAGCAGCGCCCAGACTATGGAACCGTTTACCACCAGAAATAAAAACATCGCAGTCTTAGTTAAATATATAAAAGTTAAATATTTTGGTCAACACCAAAACAAAATAATAAGAAAATTATTAGAGTGCAAACAATTAATCCGTGAAACACTAATTACTAAATAGTACAAAATAGTGCTAATTAAACAATAGAAAACAATGGAATTTACATGAAATTGTGCTATTTAGTATTACTAAAGTTTTACGGCTATAGAGTACAAACACTATAAGTGTGCAACATAAATACCACTAAATACTGATAAATTATGCTAATCCTATTGTTTTCTATTTTTTAATTAGCACTATTTACTACTAAATAGTGCAAAGTGTTGCACACTTTTAGTGTTTGTACTCTATTGTTTGCACTCTATTAATGAAATACATAAAAAGAGACTCAATGGACGAATATGGTTCAAGAGTTGATAAAAAGCTTCAAAGGTCCTTTCACTGGATGTGAACTAGTCATGACAACGGTGAGGAAGTGACATTTTTAGATAAATTCTAATTTTTCCAAAAACAAAAAGTTAAATGTTTTGACGAACGCAAAACAGAAGAGATAAATACTGAGTTAAAAAGAAAATTTAGTGAACGAATATAGGTAACGAGTTGGAGCTTCAAAAGTCCTTCCGCTGGATGTGAACTAATTATGACAACGTGAGGAAGTGACATTTTTAGATAAATTCTAAGAACATTTTTCCAAAAACGAAAAGTTAAATGTTTTGTTGAAGCAGAACAAAAAAAAATTCGATAAATACTGAGTTAAAAAGAAAATTTAGTGAACGAATATAGGTAAGGAGTTGGGGCTTCAAAGGTCCTTTCACTGGATGTGAACTAATTATGACAACGTGAGGAAGTGACATTTTTAGATAACTAAGAACATTTTTCCAAAAACGAAAAGTTAAATGTCTTGATGAACGCAAAACAGAAGAAAATTAGATAAATACTGAGTTAAAAAGAAATTTAATGAAAAAAATAGGTAAGGAGTTGGATTCAAAGGTCCTTTCACTGGATGTTAAGTACTATCATCATGAGACCATGCATGGGGGAACGACTTCAGTTTTCCAAGATTTAAAAGACATCGATAACCGAAAGTGTTTTGATTAAAGCCAATGAGCTGAAGTTTTTAAGTTTTGACAATTTCTCAATGAAAAGGAATTAAAGTACTGTACTTTTTTTAGAGAAACTCTAAGCTATTTTTCTTTGCTTCTAATTATTATCTGGTCCAAATTGACGTGTTTGTTTTCCCTATCTAGTCACAGAATTCTAAGGAATTCTAATCGATTTGAAGTATTCTATTCAGTTTTTATGGTGACACTTCAAGCTCTACTTTTTTTTCTCCTTAGATTATATTATAATTTTTCTTAATAGATTAAGAAAATTTAGGAACAAAAGCTTGTTAGAGTAGGTATAGCGTTTAGGTCACCCATCCAAATACTTACCCTCCCCAAACGGGCTTGACTCAGTATCTTCGATGCCTAAGTTTTTACCACTGAGCCACGGTTCTATGTAATAAGCATAACAATAGCCGTG